CGACTTACTGAGCTAAGGATACACGTGATCACGTAGGCGGAAGTGTGTAGAGGCGATCACTAACAGGTGTCCCACATCTGTAGTTGACATTACATTTGTGAAGATACATATTTGAAAGACAATGTGAATGCCTCCTATGGGATGTGACCTCAGTCTCCACCATGCTGTATTGTCTTATACGTACGCACTTCCCTCATTTCACTACCTGCCTGCTCCCACAAAGCATTTAAGTTTGTAGACCCTGTGGTAGAGCATTGTGCTATATCTATGTTCAGCTAATATAGTCTCACTTTAGACAGTTAGAGCATGGACATCTTAATTATAAATAAAGTCTTTATTTTCTCAGTGGACTTAATCATATTTTGGGGAGGTTTGGATGTGGCTATTCCATTTCCCCTGTTTTTTCTCCATTCCCACTTTTCTGAGATCTACCTTGAGAGGTACAGTCTGGCCAGACTGTGCACCGAATTACCTTCAGAAAATTCTGTTTCTCTGTAAGACACTAGAGTCATGTAGTTTGGATAGTGTCTCTCTTGCAATATGGAGATTCTCATCAGTTGATTAAAAAACAAACATAAAACCAAAAATACCCCATTTGGGGGTTTGTAGGCCATGTTCACAAGGCCTGCAGTGGTTTATATTCTCCTTGACATGGATTTTCCTGCTAATTTGACAGCTGTTGACATTCTACATGAGTCCATATGTAGTACCAATTTCTTTTCTTCTTTTTCTCTCTTTCTCATTTGTTTCCTCAAACAAACAAACAGAAAATCTAACTCTCTCTTGCCTTGAGATGTAAATCCCACATTTCAGCTGTATTGGATTCCAAGTTTTCCAAGAAAAGGCTTAAATTTATTAGGTTAGTTCACAATGTTCTTCCAGAGAACTTCACTTTGAGGCGTGGAGCCATATGTGGTTGGGTTGTTTTGAGATAAATAATAGAAGAGAATCAGCACTACAGTTTATAGAAATTTGGGCTGTGCCTGTTGCTTAAATAATGAGCACATGTGATTTGCAAACTTAGTCCCTGGTGGAAGGGGCAGGGATTGGGGTGGAAGGTCAAATCAATGTTTGTGCAGCTTTGCACTCTACTGATGGCACTTGTGAGTCAGTGCAAATCAGGTGGGCTCTGCGGGGACCTCAGGCACCTCGGTGGAGCTGCCTTAATCTGGAATTGTTCCCCTTCACTCTCTCAGGGTCCGGCTGCCTGATAGCATTAAAGACTACAAGTGAGTAATAGGCTGGTTGACAAACAGGTCTTTGCATGAGGTTGAATCTCAGTAGTGCGGAAAGGCTTGGTTACATTATTGTCAGGCTAATACTTTTATTTTCTGTATTTACCTCTTAAGAGGGGAACTAAAACAGAGAGGGTCTCTATTTAAAATAAAAATCTTGTGTTCTCTTGAGAATGGCACATCTTCAAACAGCTAGCAACAACAAATGTTGCTGAGGATATGGTGAAAAAGGAACTCTCCTGCACTGCTGGTGGGAATGCAAGCTAGTACAACCACTATGGAAAACTGTTTGGAGGTTTCTCAAACTGCTTAACATGGAGCTTCCCTACGACCCAGCGATCCCACTCATAGATATCTACCCAAAAGACACAAAAACACTGATTGAAAAAGATACCTGTATCCCCATGCTTATTGCTGCCTTATTTACAATTGGAAAAACATGGAAGCAGCCCAAGTGCCCAAAAGTAGATGACTGGATTAAAAAGATGTGGTACATATATACAATGGAATATTACTCAGCATCAAAAAAAAAGAAACACATGTCTTTTGCAGCAACTTGGATGGAGCTGGAAAAGATCATGCTTAGTGAGATAAGCCAGAAAGAAAAAGAAAAATACCGGATGGTTTCACTCATAGCAGGAGTACAATGGACCAGGCGAGAAAATAATAAGAATAATGAGCAGCCATATACCAGAGACATTTTGTGGGGGTGGAGTGGGGAATGGGATCAAAAATGGGGTGGGGTGGGAGAGGGAAGTGCACAGGACAATGATGATGGCACATGGATGACTCGGTGATGGGAAACCCATGGGGATTACAGTTGAGATGAAAAAAAAAATGTACAAAATGATGTAAAAATAAACTATTATATTTAAAAAATGATTGTGTGTTCTCAGTGTGTAACTTGGAAGTTGTTCATGATTTCATCTCTGTCTTTATCTACTTATAGATACATACAGATACATGGGATACACACATGTATAAACATGCGGACACTGATTTAAATGTAAACTGCTGAGAGCAGAAGGCAACTTGTCACAGTTTCATTGCAGAACATTGATCTCTAGATATTTAGATTTCATGATTTAGGAATATAAAAAATAAATTGGGCAAAAAATAAAATCCAGCATGTATTACCAGCTTCATATTTTTCAAGAACATTAAAAAATTTTTGAGGGATGGTAGACTTACATTTAATGTGGTGATTATTCTGCAATACATGTAAATATCATTGTGTTGTACACTTGAAACTAATATAATGTTATATGTCAAGTATATCTCAATTTTAAAAGTTTTCAATTGTGGTAAAATACCCATAAATTTACCATCTGAATCATTTTTATGTGTAAAATTCACTAACATCAAGAATGTTCACATTGTTGTGTGGTAGTCTGCAATCAGTTTGCAAAAGAAAGAGCAAAACAGGGACTCTACCTGCTGTCACAATTGTGCCGTATAGGGAGAATACTTTAACACTAAAGGGAAACAAGGAAGACTAGCATCTCAGGTGTAGGAAATGCCTCTCTAATCTGTGGGAGAATAGTATAGAGAAAAGTAATTGTCCATGAAAAAATAATAATCCAGAGATAAAACATATAGCGAGGATCTCTTTGTAACCGTTACCGAAATTTTCAAAGTGCTCGTCCTCTGCATCTTTCCTCCAAGCTGTTTCCACTCAAAGTGCCTGCACACAAACTGTTTGTCACCTGGTCATGGTGAAACAAAGAAATTGTCCCAGAACGAAACTAGCTATGCTATGAGGCGCAGTTCTGCAGCTTGTTCTTGCTTATAAGACTTTGTTGGTGCAGAGAGCTGTGTGTTTGTGTGTATCCTAGGATGTGTGTCTTTCTTTCTGTGATCCAGGTGTCATTGGTTCACGTACTGGTTCCGGTCAGTCTCCCAGATCCAGATCTGGTTGTGTTTTTATCAAAGTAAAGTTGATGGTTACAGTGGAAACTCATATATATTTAATACTTTATGATCTCATTCTCTTCATTTTTTCCCCAAAGCTTGTTAGTGTACTGAGGTAGGTTTGTAGTTATATCAGTCCAAACAACATCTCCAGTGGACATGCTGGCGGTATATAGTGTTGTGCAAATGGAACCCCACTGTGGATAGCCGTCTGAAATTTAACTTGGTTTGCATAACGTGGTTTTAAAGACTTCCAGTTTGATACATGTAGATCTGATTAATGTGACTATCTACCACAGCAGATGTATCTATCCTCCTGTCTATAGACAATTCCTGTGAGCTCTCCTGCGCATATGAGTCATGGTTTATTCTGGCAAGTTTTCTGGGACATGAGTCAGTGGGTCAAAGGTGAAGTGTTACTGTCATTTGAAGAATATAATTAGCATATTAGTTAGATATTTACTATAGTTTTTTATTTTTTTAAAGATTTGTTTTTTTATGTATACAGAACTGGGGTACAGGCTAGAGGTGCAGGGGTGGTGAGAGGATTCACTAGAGACAGAGTGGGGAGCAGAACAGCCAGAACTGACGAAGAACACTGCTGAGAGGAGTAGTGGGCAGGTCAGAAGAGGTCTGCCATACCATGTGGGTCACCTCTGGGGTGGGGGTCAAACTCATGCCGAAGTGCTTTTAGCTTCCCAGTGCTGTGCTTTAACCCACTGCACCACCAGGGAGGACCCACAGCCTTTTATTTTAATGGGGTGAGAAAAACATAATATGTCAACTACTAATAACTTTTTCTGGCCAAATTGAGAGTTGCTGATCTTTTAGAATCAAAGTCTTGTCTTTAATAAAGAGATGATATGGCAAGTTAGCTACAGGATTTTTGCCCTGTGTCTTTAGATGTGGGGCAAGGGCCAGCAAGGAGAAGCCAGTCCCTTCACTGTTTACCTTTTCCCTGTGAGTGATAAAATGTCTGCGACTTAGTCTGGCAAGTAGGTGAAACTGGGTATTGCTATCACTTGGACTTTGTTACAGGCATTTTGGTTCTAGAAAATCCTGTGGCCAAATTTGACTTTCTTCTCTTGACAAGTTTCTCCACAAACCCTCCTGGAGGGTCCTGTTGTTGCTTGCAGTGTTAGATGATGTAAGTTTCTTTCGATGTCTCATCTGTGGTTTCTTTGAACAAGTTGGGGAAGAATACAGAGAAGTGCACTCAGGTTCCTTTGATGATGAATGTCAGCTGGCCTGGAGGAAGTTGAGAAAGCTGTGTGCCTGGCACCCTCATGTAGCCACCATGCAGCCTGCTAAAAGCACTTAGGGTTTGGGTATGTATGAGTCAGGCTTCAGTCTCAACAAATAGACTGGGGGAAAAAAGAGAACTGAGATGATGCCTAAATGTGCTTACTGCGCTGTCTTTATAGTCTTCTCTGTTATTGTTAGCAGTAGTGCAGTGTTTTGATCACTCTTTAGAAAACAGTAAGTGGGAAGACAACTTGGGGAGAAAAAGCTATAGAAACATCAAAGAAAGTCAGACTAAAAGCCTTCACCTTTTCAGGACTCCTTTAATTCCATCAAGAAAGCCTGTGGGCTGACGGTTCCCAAATATGGCAAGGTGAATTACGGTGAGGAAGAGTCTGAGAAAGATCACATACACAGGCAATCTGCACTGATGATTCAGGTGCCTGCCTGAATACACCTTTTTCCTGTAGTTTGATGTATGTAGCAGAATCACTGTGGTGCAATATGTTATCAGACAAAAGCTCTTGTGTTGGTTGCTGTCTGTGTTTAGTGTTTAGATATACAGATAAATGTTTTTATTTGTAAATAATTCTCTTGGTTATTTATAATCAGCTGTCAAAGCTTGAAAAACAACAGCAGAGGAAAGAAAAGACCAGAGCTAAAGGGCCTTCGGAGTCAAGCAAAGAACGAAACACTCCCCGAAAAGAAGACCGCAGTGCCAGCAGCGGGGCTGAGGGCGACGTGTCTTCTGAACGGGAGCCATAGGCAGAGGGGCCGGGACCCAGGTAGGAGCTTCCCTCCCTACTCCCCACATCTTTGGACAAAGAGGGGTGAGTGGTACAATGACTTTTGAGATCGAATTGACTTTATAGACATGCATCCGTGGCTTTCTTAAATATGCTGATGGAAAAGAAGAGATGAGACAGGGAGGCCTGGGGATGTTCCCCTCAGAGGAACCTCTGTTTCTGCCACTTTCCTCAGCTGCCTGTATCAGTTTACAACTACTGCTACTCTTTTTTTTTTTTTTTTAAAGATTCATTTATTTGTGCATACAGAACTGGGGTACGGGCCAGAGGTGTAGGGGTGGTGAGAGGATTCACCAGATGCAGAGTGGGGAGCAGAACAGGCAAATTGATGGAGTACACTGCTGAGGGGAGCAGCGGGTGGGTCAGGAGAGTTCTGCTGTGCCATATGTATCACCTCAGGGGCAAGCGTGGATCCTAACTGATGCGGAAGTGACTTTAGCTTCTTAGTGCTGCGCTTTAACCCACTGCACCACCAGGGAGGCCCTCTTACGTTGTTTTAGAGTATTTGCAGGGACATCATCCAGACCAGGAGCTTCACAGGCACTTTCACCAGTGTGACCTCCTTTCTACTCCTGCCCTCAGAAGTGCCCCTGAAGGCCGTGGTCATCTGCAGCCATGGTCACCTGCTCTCGTAATTTCTTACCTCATGTTACAACAGGCATTGCCAGTTTATTCTTCCCAAAATCGGGTTTTGTGCTTATCCTTCTATGCTCAGGGAAGGCAATGCAGTTCACTGTGGCATTGAATCCACCTCCCTGCCTGAAGAGCAGCTGCCTCTGAAATAAGACCCAGTCATCTAATGGCCCTTCATTCAAGTTCATTTCTTCAGTGAACACATTATGAAAAGCCTCTTACTTTTCAGCAGCTCACAGTTCAGGGAGATGCATAGAAATGATTATGCTGCAGCATGATGTGTTGTTGTGGTGAAGGGAGTGGAGAGGGAAATTGGGGAGGCTCCACAGAGGGAAGGACTCCAGAACTTACCTCAAAGATCATGTCAAAGGGGGGAGCTGTGAATGAGGGCAAACTGCTGCTTGGGTCAGGAGAAGAACTGGTACAATTTTGGGGGGCATCAGGAGGAACAAAGGCTGATGAGTTTGGATATGGAGCTAGTAAAGAATGGCTGAAGCATTCAGTATGAGTCAGGGGGTTTATATGAAGCTTCTCTAAAGATAGGAAGGAGACAGATTCTGGGTCATACAGGGTCTTGTGTACAGCTCTGAGAAATAGGAGTGTTATCCTTGGGCAATAGGGAACATGTGAAAATGTATAAATGATGTAACACAAGCTTTGAATGATCATATTATTAGTATTGGAAAGTAAGGCTGGAAGTAGATAAACCAGTTAGGAGGAAGTTGTAGAAGTAGAAAGAACATTCAGTAGAAATTGAGGGGAAAGGGTGGATTTGAAAGCTGTAAAGAAAACACAATCATTTCAACTTGGTGACTGATGTCTTTCTCCTTCAGTTTTAAGATTATAAATAAAAATCTCTTCCCCAGTAAGCTGGAAACTTACAAGTTTAAAAATGAGTTTTCTGGCTTCCATGGTGAACTCAGTGAATAGAAGGGGGTTAAATGTGAAAGCACGAATCTGCCAGTAGCCAACACAAGCACACATGTGCACATGCATACATGTGCGCACACAAACACCTGCATATGCACTTGAACATATCCTGAAGCTTTGTATTTTCAAGACAGATTTAAGAATTTGAATGCCACCCAGTGAAACACTTCTGAATTGTAGTATTTAACTACTAATATATTTTATAAATTTAATGTTTTAATTTTCTAACTATGGCTGATCAATGCTTTGAAAATGAGGGGCATTGAATTCTATTACTTTTTAAGTCAGTATAAATCATAATTTCTCATTAGTGTTAGCTTTTAGACTCAGAATTTCTAATTCCGATAGTGAATATGTCATGGACACCAGGACCCTGTGGTCGTTGGGGCAGCTTGGGGCTGATTTTACCATTTGTGTAAGAAAAATCATCTGAATTCTCCTGTGTAGAAGAAGAGATGTTAAGTGTGCCACAGAAAAGCCAGGATACCTTCACTCATACATGGAAGCGCTCAAAGGAAAAACAAGCAAGAGGTGAAAGTAGACATTTCTCTGTAACATATCCCAAGCTTAGCAATGAGGCAACATTTCTCATAGATTTGTGAATACCTGTTTTTGCTTCTCTAAAGTTTCTTTAAAAATAAATAAATGAAACTTGTATTATTCTCAGTGAGTAGCATAAAACTTGAGGTAAATAGTATTATTGTTTGTCATGTACCCAAAAGAACTAGCCAGAGAAGGGACCCAGCAGTGGGTGAACCAAGCCTGGGGGCACATTATTTTGGAAAGAATAGACAGATATGTTCTTTCCCTTTCCATGTATAAGAAATTCATTGCAGCCAGATCTTATTGCAGCCCTAGGGGAGAGGTAGGAAGGACAATAAAGAGGAGATGTTGGGAAAGCCTGGCAAGAAGAAGGTGAGAGAACGTCCTTAGGTCAGGGGAGTCAGGAGGAAGGGAACAAGAGGAGGGAAGCCAGAGGCTGCACCGGCAATGTGGTGCCCACTCCCTGAGGAGGAGGGGGCCTAGGTTTCTGGGAAGGCTGGACTTGGGGGCCTCTGCTCCAGTCTCTGGTGGCAATTCTGGAAGGAGACTGCCATGTCAGATGGTTCCCGTCTCCATGAGGCTGCTGCAGCTTAAAATGAGTCACCAGACCAAGTTAGGCATCAGGTATGGGTGAAGTCCTACCAGCCCTGTGCAGAGAAAAGCTGTGAGAGAGCCAGAGCCACCTGTGGGCTGTGGGTGGAAGAGGAAAGGGGAGCCTGCCTCAGACTGTGAGGAAGCAGTTTCATTCAGGAAGTCAGTAGCCCTTAATAGCACCCCATGGTCCCTTCAGGTCTCCCCACGAGCTCTCTAGCCTCCTGGGGGAGACGAGGGTTCTGTAATGCTAGCCAGGATTGAAATGAGAGCCTCTGGCATCTGAGCAGTAGAGTGGCATACCTTCAGTGACATGAGCCACACACCGGCCACCTGGCCACAGGAGCCACTGTGGACTCAGCGCTGACAGTCACTGTGGGTTTAGGCTTTCCCCTGTTGCTACTGGGATGGAGACTTGTGAGAAAACTTGGATGGTCCCAAGAAAATGCCTTTGTTTCTTTGCACATTTATATAACCCCGTCTGGATTATGACTGAGTACATAAGGAAAACCATTTCTTGGCATTTAAGTTCAAATTGTTAGTAATGTCAGGTGAGGCCCGGTGGCTGGTGTGACATCTCAGTGTGTTTGGATATAAGTGAGGGGTCTGAATGTTCATGCTGGTTTCCCCTGGGCTCCTGTCACTTCTGGGATTTTAGCCCTGTTCTCATATTTGCAGAGCCTAAAAGACTAAACAACAATTTGTACCCCAAGCGTTTCTGGTTTCTTTGCTGCCCAGGGGTTTCTGTTCCTTGCTGAGATTTGTCATCCTGGTAGACCCACAGCGTCACCACTCAACATTAGGTATCTGTAATAGCGAAATGATGAAGGACGAAGTAATGATAGAAGGTGACCTTGACATTTACTTGCTTCACAGAAAAAACACACCCGCCCACCCCCACCCCCATCCCCCAGTGAGGGAAGCTTCAGTTTTCATTTCTGTTTTTCTTTAAAAACAGAAAGAGCCCAAGGAACCCTCCTGGGCTCTAAGGAGAACATCCTTGAGTTTTGAAGACATGAGAGAGAGAGAAAATGAAATGGAAAACTACATGATCTTGGGCATATTTTTCTTTGAAAACTAGTCAAAACCCTTTACAATTCAGAAGGTATCATTATTTCTTGTCATATTGTGAATCTTATTTCTTATTTTGTCAAGTGGACATGAAACTGCTAAAATTAACTTCTGTTTTTGTCCACTGTCTCATTCCTTCAGGTTCCCTCAGCTTGTGAGGAGGTCAAGGCTTTCTGTGAGGTTGCAGCTCAGTTTCTTTCCTTTTCTGGCCCATAGCTTAGGGCAGTAGGGCAGTTTCTCACTAAAAAACAGTGGTTTCTGCTTGTGAGTGCAGGTTCCCCTGCCCCAAATATTGAGTATTTACTTACATCAGTAGGGTGTGAGAGCGGTGTGCCCCTGACCAATACCCCACATTTCTGTCCTCAAATGTCAACACACTTGGAACCAAAAGAGGAAAGTGTTTTGGAAGTTGCCATCTGCTAGGTTCAGTTTAACCTTTGTCTGAATAGTAAGATAGGTCCTGACTGGACACATTTCTTCCTAATGAGCCAGAACAGTACGTGTGTGTGTGTGTGTGTGTGTGTGTGTGTGTGTGTGTGTTCTGTTAAAAGGATATTCCATCACTTTTCTCTGTTTATTTCATTCCCAGATTTTCCCTTTGCCTCCTGTGTCAACATTTACATTACTGGTATTTCATAGTATAAAATTAGCTGTATAAAAATGCCTCTGAGGTGGTATTTTTTTCATGGCTGTCCTGGAGTTTGCAATATGTATTTTTGACCAATCTAAGTCTCTAAGTCCTCCTTTAAATAACTTTTACCACTTTACATGCATTATAGGCACCTTGCAACAGCATTTCTCAGTACCCCAGCCTCTGGGATATTGCTGTCATACATTTCAATTTCCATATGAAACTTATGCTGTCCAACCCAGTACTTAGTTACTATTCCTATTTAAATGGTTCTTTCTTAGATGAGTTAAGGAGAAGAAAATGTTTTACTTTCCTTTCTTCTCTCTTGCCCTAATTAGATGAATCCAAGTTTTTGATCTATTATGGTCTTTCTGAAGAAATTCTTTTAACATTTTGTGCAGCACAGATCTGATAAATTTTAATTTTTCCTTCACTTTTGAAAGAATCTCAGTGGCATATGTTTTTTACTTGGTCGCGTCCAGTCTGTTGATGAACCCATCAAAGATATTCTTCAATTTTTTTTCCCTACTATTTCTTTCTTGTCCCAGGTCTCTACTTAACATTGCCCATCTGTTCTTCTATATTGTCTGCTTTCCTTACTAGAACCCTTAACATTGTTTTTTTTACAATCTTTTCCTACTAATTTCAGCATCTATATTATATGTAAGTCAACCCCTATATGATGCTTTTGGTTTTCTGAGCTTCTTGAATCTGCAAATGTATGTTTTTCAATACATTTGGGAAATTTTCACTAATTCTTCAAATTTTTTTTCTGTTCTTACCTCTCTCTTTTCACCTAGAGGTAAGTTTTTAAGCTTTGAGAACTATTGGTTTCAAATTTCTCAGGATCTCCTCAATTCTATGATTATTTAGTAGGAAGTCAAAAATCCTGAATTGTCTTGCTCTTGTAAAATTTCTTTTGAGAGTCATTTTTATTACAAAATTAATATTCATTCACTATAGAGAGAATTTAAGTACCAAAATTCTCAAAACAATATTCATCTGCCATCTCATCATTTTAATATAAACATTTTATAACATTTCCCTTAAACAGATTATTTTCTAACCTCTCTGATTTAATGAAGTTAGAGACATACTGTCATATAATATCACTGCTATTATTATCTAAAAAAAAATACTCTGAATATTTTCTAGGTCATTCTTCTTTAATAAACCTAACCGTTTCCATCTGCACACCAAACCTCTAAATTTACTATCCCAAAGTATTAAAACATGTACAATTTAACTGAGGTAATATAAGTGAAGAATATAGTCATACAGTATTCCAAAGCTTACTTTAAATTAAAAAACTTGTAATTTATGACAAGGAGTTGAAGTTCCAAGGGTCAGTGTGGAACCACTATCAGAATTTCTGTTGTCAGTAATGTAGGTGAAGAAAAAAATAGACCGTGGATCTTTTGGTTTGGGTTAACATCTTGATTAAAACATAGGAGCAAGTGTTATGTTAGTTGACTTAAAAAATGGAAATAATAGTCCACAGGAATTGAGTTGTTTCTTGTCTGTCTCCTGGTGGTCTTTTAACTGTCCCGTAGGTAGTAGTACAAGATTATGACTGTTGTGTCTCAGAACATGAAAGTAGATCTCAGGGAAAATTTTAGTCGCTGGGTGAGTCCAGATAGAACCAAAGATGATGGACCACCTGCAGTTCCAGTTAGCCTTGCTGCTGTGAGTCCATGGGCCTCTATATCTAGTGGGCTCAGGAGTGGAAGGCTGTGGATTCCATCAAGGCATCTGCTCATAACCTAGCCCTTTTTTAACCTGAGGTGAGTGCAGCTGGAAGCTTTCTGGTGTCACTGTGTGCAGCCTACTGTTAGCAGAACCTTGACTTTACTGAAGCCCATTCTATTAGAATTTAGAAACGAAGGAATAGAAATAGCTTTATAATATTTGGGCTTTCGTTAAGCTCTTGGATGACAAATTCCTGCCTCACAGATCCTTGGCAAGGCCAGCTAGCATTTGTTGTAACCTCAGAATTACAAAGAGAAGCTCAAGATACTTGGATAACTTATACAAAGTATCTACTAATCCTTTGAGTAGTAGTAAAAATATCTCAAGAACAGTGCTTTTTTATCCCCTGTCCCTATGCTTTCCTTAGGCTTCTCCCCTTTGTTAAAAGGATTTGAAAACAAGCTTTTCATATATTTTTGCAGGAATTTACTCATTACATTATGCTCACTAACTTGTGCACATAAAGTTGTTTGGATATTTCCTTTTTATTCTTTTAATGTCCTTTTCTTTTGTTAATTCTGACAAGAGGTTTGTCAGTTTTATGGATCTTTTCATTTATTTTCTCACTTGTTTTGCTATTTGAAATTTCATTAGTTTCTGTTCTTTTTTATCACCTTCCGTGTGCTCATTTTGGATTTATGTTGCTTATATATTCTTTTGGCTCCTTATGGAAAATCATTTTGTTGATTTGTCAGTCTTCTTTTCTTAAAGCATTTAATGCTGTGGATTTTCCTTTATGTACTGCTTTAAGTGAAAGCCATACATTTTGATCTTATATTTTAATTTTCATTCACTTTGTAACATGTTTTCTAAATTGTCTAAAACTTCTATTTGTTGCATATGTCCTCTAAAACTGGCTTTTTTAATTCTCACATGTTTGCTTTGATGTCTTTTTGAAGTTTAAGAATGGAGCTCTAATAAACTGGAGACTCTTTGGTGAGAAGATATTTGGATTTAAATAGGACAAAATGGCAGATTGTTCACAGAAAAGTGAAACACTGTTATACTGTTGTCATTGTATCAAGTTTAAAGAACAGCTGCAGCTATTTTGTTATACCTGGTCATATATTAGAATAGGACTTTGAGACTAGTCTAGGTAAGGCCTTTTCTAAGACCCTTCTGAGTAATGTGTCTTATCTTTGTTTGTTTTAGTGCACTATAACTGGACAAAACTGGATCCTGAAAAATCCATGAAAGATGCAGAGCACCTGGATTGCTTTAAGATTTTGGAGCTGAATCATGAAAAGGAAAAGAGAAATAAGAAATTGGAAACCTAAATAGCCCTGCAAATAAACACCAAAGGAAGCTGCCATTTTTGTTGTGTTCTGGTTAATAGCATGGGAGCTGCCGGCGCTGCAGAGTTCCTGGGCATCTGGCGACAGGGCGTCTACACACACCTCTGCCACAGAGATGTGTGTCAGTTCTCCCACTGTCTGGTTTGCTTTGGGAACAGGATGGGCCAATATCATTTGTCTTCACATCTACAGCAGGCACCACAGCAGTCACACTTTCCTTGTTCTTTCCAATGCTGGTCAAGCCAGGGTCTGTGTGAAGATGTAAAGAGAACAATGTTTTTTGTGTGAGACCTTTGCATCTTGTAAATTTTCTCTTTTTTCTACAAAGAAATAATAAAACTCCAATCATCAAACTCTTTGATAAAAGAGTCAAGTTCCTAGGCATATTTCTGGTCACAAAAATACCATATGCTAAATAAAGACCTAAATTACTTCAACTATAAAACAATAATTTGTATTCTTTCATTCATTCATTTTTTTCCCACATGCTTATTCCAGCTTAAAGTCACAGGTGGCCGGAGCCTCTCTGAGCGGCTCAGGTATAAGATGGGAACTCATTCTGGCTCCAGGGCATCCTTTCATCACAGGATTCACTCCCTCATTCAGGGGCTATTGAGACACATGATGAACCTCACAGGCACATCTTTGGATGTGGGAGCAAACTGGGGTGCCCAGAGAAGACCCATGGAGACATGCGGGGAATATGTAAGCTCCATATAGATAGTTGCCTCACTGGGAATCAATTTTTTTTCATATCAAAGTTACAACAAAACAATGTTGAACAAAATGTTGTTAGTCAGTGACCTATTATATATCAATGTTTATGTAAATAAAGTTGTCCCATACTTCTTGCCTAACAGTAGAAGTGATACCATATTTGGCATTTTTGTGCTGCTGACACCATAATAGAGTTTATAATATCTGTGACCTTTATAATAGCTTCTAAGTCTGTCTAGTCTGACCCAGTCATCCTCTTCAAATAAAACAAAAAATGTGAGGAAAATAAAAGCTCAAGTCACATCTGTAATGTGCATTCAAGTACTTGGAATATGGAGTTTGGAAGGGCTTTGCCATATTGCTTTATTCAGAACAAATATAGATAATCCACAATAGTTTAAAGCTGTAGGTTTGAAATCATTGTAGCTCAAGTGCAAGTTTTTGATCAGCTCCCCCAAGTCTATGGCAGTGCAGTTAAGAGCCTCTTCTGTTTATCTAAGTAGGCTTTTACAGAGCAAATTCAAATTCACCTTAAAATTATTTGAATTTACCTACAGGTTTGCAAGCTCAGTTGTAGGGCTGTAGCCTTGCTGAACAGGTTTGTCATACTGGTCCGGACTACAACTTCAGTGCAGGGAACACCACCAGACAGTGCATCTCTGAGCAGCTGCAGCCTGCCCTGCGGCTTTGGGCCAGGAGGGTGGCACAGAGAACAGCCAGTATGCCTGCTGCTTGGACAGTGGCTTAATGATAAAGACCCTCATAGCTCACAACCTATTTATTGGCTCTCATCTTAAAGGGACTTAGGCAAACTAAGTTGACAAAATGTTGTCAACTTGCTGAAGGGTCAAAACCAGAAAATAGAAGCACTGAAAGGGAAACAAAACTCAATATTTGAAAGTCATGGGCAAGACACTGGGTCAGGTAACAAAGTCAGGAGCAATGGCTATGAGTTGCATTAACATAGATGCTGGCAGGGTGTAAACTTGTGTTTTTCCTATTATTTGTTTATGTTTTGCATCATTTTTCACTTTTTAACAATGCTTTCTTTTCTCAGGTGTAGTCCTGATAGAATTTCCACCACCAATTCACCTGTGCACCACACCCTGTGCACAGTCCCCTGTGCGCTTCCCACTCTCGTTCTGATCCCTCTCCCACTCCCCTGCAGAATGCCTCCGCTTTGTACTTTTTATAGCATACAATCAAAAGTGGATGGAGACTTGGGAGCTGGATGTGAACAGAAGTTGTGAACCTACTTAGGAGGAGATACTTTAATTAAAATATCTTCCTCGGCCCTCCCTGGTGGCGCAGCGGGTTAAAGCACTGCACTGGGAAGCTAACGCTATTTCCGCATGAGTTCGATTCCCGCCTGCCCTGGAGGTGACCACATGGCGCGCCAGACCTCTCCTGACCCGCCCGCTGCTCCCCTCAGCAGTGTACTTCATAGACCTGCCTGTTCTGCTCCCCACTCTGTCTCTGGTGAAGCCTCTCGCCGCCCCTGAGCCTCTGGCCTGTACCCCAGTTCTGTATGTACAAATAAAATAAATCTTTAAAAAAAAAAATCTTCCTCACATTATATAGGGAACAAAATGAGGAAATGTTTGTTACTTTTGCACCATAGTATCGAAGGAAGCTCTTCCATCATTTTTTTTTTAAAGATTTATTTATTTATTCGTACAGAACTGGGGTACAGGCCAGACATGCGGAGGGTGAGAGGATTCACCAGGGACAGAATGGGGTGCAGAACAGGCAGATCGACGAAGTACACTGCTGAGGGGAGCAGCGGGCGGGTCAGGAGAGGTCTGCCACGCCATGTGGATCACCTCCGGGGCAGGCGGGAATCGAACTCATGCGGAAGCGGCTTTAGATTCTCAATGCTGTGCTTTAACCCGCTGCACCACCAGGGAGGGCCGCTCTTCCATCATTTTGAAGGTCACTTTCAACCCCTAGTAAAGTATATGCACTATAGAGACTGTCTCAAGGATACATGTAGCCATGGGACACGGTTACAAAGAAAAATGAAGGCTCACTTAAGACACCCCATGACATCAGCAGCTTCATCAAAAAATAGTTAATTTCTGCCTTCCTTACCCTTACTCCCTTGAAGATATGTTCTAGCTTCTACTTTGGGACTAATGGCTAAAATTAGATTTCGGGAGCGGTTGTATTTGTAGAGAAGATGTTTGTTTTTACACCCCTTCTAACATCTCCAGCTTCCTCTTACTACTTACTTATAAAACTTGCTTTCAGTGTCCATGAAGTGACTATTTGAATGAGAGTGACAGAGGAGAATCATACCATGTATGGCTTTTCTGGGGAGGCTTGGCTGACCACAGGCTCTGTACTGTAAACAGAACGCTGTCCAGTAACACTGGGTAGCAGCGTCCATTTAATCTTGCCTTTCACAGTTTACTTTATAGGAGACCAAACTATTCTGGCAACACAAAACAGACCAAATAAAGGCACCTTCTGGAGGTGGACACTCATGACATTGCCTTGTGATTCATGGTCCTAGGCAGGCATTTTCCCTGCTAAATTGTTCCCTCACTACAGGGGGCACCAAAAGGCAGGTAGAGAATTTGGCCTTTCTTTGATTTGATCATAATGAATAAATAGTTCCATAAAAAGACCCTTTCCTCTCTCTGACATTGTGTCACTTCAGTAACTCTAAAAACAGGGAGGTAATCCTATCTCAAACTAATTTGTCAGATTGCCTTGCGTTTTTTGAGTCACACACTTTCAGCGTTCTTAATTTGCAATTCTGATTTGGGTCTTTTAAAAATAAGGAACCTTCTCTCAGAAGGCATGGAATACCATCAAGCTTGCACCTATTGATCAGGTTGGAAATGAACATGAAAAATGACTGTTCAGTGGAGTCAAGCTTCTTACAGCCACTGCTCATGTTTTCATTCTTTCCTGGTTATGGACACCACTGCATCGAAGATTTAGAGCTTGTGGAAGCCAAAACTGAATTCGAGAGAAAATGTCTATTAGTAATGTTATTTTAGGTTTGTTAAATTAATTTTTGACAATATATTATATGTAGGGGGCCTTAAAAAATCTTGTTTGTTACTCTTTCTCAGAGTTGGTGAATTTAAGTCTCCATTATGGAACAAGGAATATATTGAGGTGGTGCAGGATCTTCAGCTAGCAAGCCCTCTCTCCCTAATTCCCCCCCTTGCATTAGATGGTGAACTCAGAGCTAAGTGTGAGTCTGAGGAGGTAGCCTCCAGGAGGTGTTGAGATCTGTAGGACAAGGCAGAATTGACTCGGGGGGACTGTAGAGGACAAACAGCAGATGTACCTCATAGTGAGGTTCAGACAACTGTCGGTAGATCAGTAGGATTTGATTTGGTGAGAAAGAGGGCACATTTGGGACATGGCTAAGAGCAAGATTGAGAGGTGAGCCAGGACCTTGCCCTCTGAGGTCTGCTAAGTGATGATAGTGCATTCAGTCTTCATCATGTCTCTCTCCTCCATCTTTCTCCAAGCTCATTGGTTCTGGCTCTTCAGTAGTTTCTCATGTGGCCTTGAGAATGAGTATAGCTCTCTGAAATAGTGTGGGCTGAGGCCTGGATTTGGACAATGGTATAGCGGCTTCTACAGGTCAAGAGGTTGCACAGACTTGGGGTTGTAGCCTGTGTGGTTGATTTGCCACGTGACCTCAGCAGATTTTTTTTTAAGATTTATTTATTTATGCATACAGAGTTGGGTACAGGCCAGAGTTGCAGGGGTGGTGAGAGGTTTCGCCAGAGAGAGCAGGGAGCAGAACAGGTAGATGGACAAAGTACACTGCTGAGGGGAGCAGCAAGCCTATCAGGAGAGGTCTGCCTTGCCATGTGGATCACATTCCGGGCCAGGGATCAAACTCAGCCTGAAGCGGCTGCAGCTAGCTTGCAGTACTGCATCCTAACCTGCTGTGCCACCAGGGAGGGCCCAGAATTTATTTGTTCATTCAGCTAAAGTGTCATCTGTTCCTTCTCTCCCTCCACCCCCACCCCACCCCTGCAATCCTGGAGCACGGATGTAAAGGTTAAACAAAGATTTGGTGTATGGCCTCTACGTGCCATACATCCCAGACTCTAGGTAGGTCTCTGATAACGCAGCTCCTTGTGACCAAAGCAGCTTACTTTCGGTAACTCTGTCACAACTTTGGCTTCCACCACTCCTGCTGGTAATTAAAACTCCAGGTTTATTTCATAGAATTACCATCTGACCAGTGAAGGGCCCAAGTAAAGAGCTTGATTGGGCTCAATCCATGTGTCTGATCTATTGAAATATTTCAGATTTTTATGCTGGCTATTCCTCCCAACATGCGTCATCTTTATACATGTTTCCATATATGTCCATAATCTTTATACAAGTCTTGATTAAACATGATATTCAGGATGGAATTGGATTCCATTTGAAATCTTCTTACAGGTGCAGTATTTCTATTCTCATTTAACACACATTTCTCCTTCCCTTACTGCCTAGTCTTGTTGAAATACTTTGGTGATTGACATGATATCCTACACTCTCAGAAAAAAAATGAGTACAGCATAATACTTATGCTTCACAATGTCACTTGTGAGTGCATGCTGGCTTCTAGTGATCTCTGTGTTCTTTTCCACAGACTCACAAACCATCTGTTTAATGATCTATTCTAGAATGTTTCAGGAATCCATGTGTAACCAGTCTGTCTGATGTGTCTGGAATCCATCTTTTTAAAACTGGACTTTTTG